CGGGGGCCAGTGCTGCCCCCCTGCGCGGCGGGGGCGCTGCCTGCTGTGAATCCCGGCCCCGGCGCGGACACGCGCCGGCTCCGGCATTTCCTGCCCTGCGCATCCAAGCGCGCCCAGATGCCTCTTTCAGCGGACGTCCCCGGGGCCGGATCGCCCAGGCCAGCCCGGGACAGGGCTGCCCCACAGCCCGCGTCGGGGCACGCGGCTCCCGCTCCGTCCCCGTGGCTCTTTCGGCATCCCCAGCTTTGTGCCTTGTGAGCGCCGCCTTGGCACCCATCAAGGCCACCCGGCTCCCAGGATAGCTCAATCCCTCCATCTCCTTGCTGCTCCGGGAAGCCCGACCCAGGGGTATCCCAAGCGGAGCAGGAGCCTCCCAGCATCACCTCCATTCCCTGCCTGCTGTGGGACACGGGGGACAGCGCCTGTGTCACATCCCTGGCCCTCTGCAGCCTGTGGCCGCGGCGCCGTCCCTGCCACCCCCATGGGACATGACACCTCCCCGCACCACCACCTGCTCGCACGACCAACAGCACTGGGAAGCCCTGGAGCCCCAACATGGGTGATGGGATCCAGGCCTTGCAGAAATACATGGCAGCTTTCCCACCCGTTTCCCCATGAGCGGAATTCCCGCCTTGGCGAGCTGAGCCGGAGCAGCGCTGATCCGGCGGCTCCGGGGAGGTGACTCACGGGAAGGGCAGCGCTGCGGGAGCGCCCGGCGGCGCGGCCGCCTCCGCTCGCGGTCAGCTCCGCCGCTCCGCTCGCTCCTTGGTGGGGAAACGGCAAGAGCGGCCTGTGCGTTAACTAACACGCACGTAATGAGGTCAGGATGAATCAGAGCATCCCCAAGGAGCTGCAAAGGGGCAGATCGCGGCTTTCCCTGGCATCGAGGAGGCTTCATCCCAAGGGTGGCTCCAGCACCCCCTGCCACCGGGGCTGATGGGGTCTCAGTGACAGGTCCCAGCCCCGTGCTGGCCACAGGACAGGAGAGGAAACAGCCCGGGTCAACGACCAGCTCGGAAAAAGTCCCCAGCTACCTTTAATGCAACTTTAACAAGAATTTAAGTGATACAAATAATACGGCCCAGAGATGCAGAAGGAATGGAAATAAACGGTAAGGGTTATTTTCCCGGGTCGGCTCTGTGCTCCCCTTGGGATGGTGCCCTAGGAGCAACAAGCTCCAAACGCAGGAGGATGTTTGGATGCTCACGGAGTGATTCTGGGTTTTCAGTAACCTGCAGGTTATGTGACGGCCCCAGGCCAGGCGCCGCCGGGGCTTGCAGGGATCTGCAGCCCCACAGGTGCAAGGGAGCCCGGGTGAATTCCCGCTGGGAAAGCGGCACGCGCTGAGACTGCCGGGCCGTGCTCCCAGGGAGCCCGGGAGCGGGCGGCGGGATGGGGAGGGATGGGATGGGACAGGCAGGAGCTGCAGCTCTGAGCTGCGCGCAGGGAGCTGCAGTTCGGAGCTGCGCAGGGACCGAGGGCCCTCTAGCGAGCGCATGTCCCGGCGGAGATGCTGCTCCCGGGAGGGCTGCGCTGCCCCACAGCCCGGTCCATATCCAAGCCCTACAGCTGCGCCTGGCCCCACAGCTCAATCCATACCCTGGCCCCACAGCCTCCCCCATACATTGCCCCACACCTGGGCATGGACCCTACAGCCTGGCACATACCCTGGCCTCACAGCCTGGTCCCCAAACTGAGACTGGGCCCCACAGCCCAGGTCAGCCCCAGAGCCCAGGCCATAATCTGGCCCTATAGCCCAGGCCCATAGCTTGGCCCTATAGCTCAGCCTACAGCCTGTCCCCGCAGCCCAGTGCCATAGCCTGGCCCTATAGCCTAATCCCATAGCCCAACCCTATAGTCCAGCTCCATAGCCCAGTCCTACAGCCTAGTCCCATAGCCCAGCCCTACAGCCCAGCTCACAGGTCACCCCCATGGCCCAGCCCTATAGCTCAGCCCCATAGCCCGTCCCCCCTGCCCGTCTCCCCAGCGGTGCCCGGTGCTGGTGCTGGCGCCGGCGCCGGCCCCGGCCCCCGTCCCG